GCTGATAGCAGGTGCTCCAGGGAAGAGAACAAGACCAGACTCATCTTCCATTGCCTCTTTCCCTGAATATTGTCCTTGTCTCCTGTGGCAGGTACCTCTGGTTTTTAGACCCTTCAGTGAATTTGATTCCTTGTGTCTGTGTACATCAAATACAATTAGAGCAATATAACAAAACTGCACTTGTTTGCAGCAGTTTTCTTTAATATATCCTTTAAATCTAGTAGGGATGTTTTGTGAAAAAGGGCTTTGTTTGGTTTCAAGTCCCTTTGTTTTCCTGCAGGCGAAGGATGTTGATCTGGGCTCGGACGTGAACTATCGGATCCGCACGGAGGAGGCACGACAGTATTTTGCACTGAACAGGCACACGGGCGAGTTGTCCCTGCTGAAGTCCTTGGATTATGAGTCATTCTCTGACACAGAAGCCACCTTCACCTTCCTGGTGGAAGCCTTCGACAGCAAGGGCACGATGCCTCCTGGGCTGGCCACCGTCACCGTGAGGGTCAAGGTGAGAGCAGCCACTGCTCACTCAAGAGCATCCTGTCCTGGGGGGTACAAAACACTCTCACAGTCATCCCAGGAACACCAGAACAACATCAGTCTGTCTGCTCCTCTGCTTTTCACTTGGACAAAGCTCCTTTTTCTGCCAGCAGCTTGTTCAGTTAAACTCGCATTTTTATAACAGTTATAATTACTTTTCTGTGGGCAATTATGTAGTTAAATATTGGATCACAGGTTTATGAGCTACAAGGAAGACCTGACACATATATAAACATTTTGTCCTTCAGAATCCCCAAAAGGCTGAAACCAACCTCTAATGGAATTATCTGCAAAAATGACCCAGTCATGTTCCAGGTGCAGCTCTGTCTCTCAGTCAAGTCCTTTTGAGCAGTTGCTTGATTTTTGTGAGCTTGGGGAGAGAAGACAATTTAATTACTTGTAGTTTAGCTAAGGAGCAAAAATTGTAACAGAACCAAAAGCACAACTCACAAATGTGAACTCCATCTCCAGCAACTTCAGTGTAAATCCAAGTCTGTGGAAAGAATTCAGCATTTATGAATCAATCTGGGGTTCAGCTTCCTGTGTATCTGCAGGTGCTGGGAACTGCCATATGGTTTTGAGTAATTCTGTTTGTCAGTCTCTACTGAGCTCAGAATTATTTTAGGGAAAGTAAATGTCTCCAATTATTTGGTGACAGTGCAGGAAGGCTTCTGTGATACTTCTCTGTCTGCAATATTTCTCAGTTCTGAGATGCAGGTCACCTGTTCCCTAAAAATCTGTGCTCTTCCCTGGCAGGTTCCAAGTCAGTCACAGAAATCAAAGCTTTTCTGTTAGGCTTTTAAGGAGGAAGTTGCTCAAACTTCCTTTTTTTCCTATAAGAAGCCTTTTCCCAGCACGCTGAGTTTTTGAAAGAATTAAATGTTTGAGTTGGTTTGGGTGGGTTTGGTGGGTATTTTTAAAGGTACCTGTTTTCAAATAGGATTGTGTTCAGAGCAAGTTGTTGTCTGTGTCATAGGGCTGATGGACAAAGCTGAAGGGATCGAGTGTCCCCTCAGCAGGTTTGCAGGTGACTCTGAGCTGGGGGTGCAGTGACACACCTGA